CTAAAACAGAATTTAACATTAAAACATAAAATGGTAAAAATTTGAATTCAGAAACATCCGCAGATGCGTTCATACAAAGCCTGTTCTTTAAAGCTTGTGTAGTTTTCGTTTTTCATTTCCTTTGTTCGTTAAAATTCGCTATTATTTAATGATGAAATCATAGATAGACTCGAACCAATGTTGTTTAATTTCTGTAGGGATTAGCATTTAAAATATTTGTTAATTTCTATGTAAGGGTCTCGGTCTGTTCTTATTGTAGTCTGCCAAATGGTTTTACAAATAAAACATTTTAGTGTTATCATCGTTCATATGTTCTTATTAAAGTGACCTTATGCTCATCCAAGGTTAATGATGGTTGAACAGCTAAAACTCAAAATGATTCTACATTTTTAACAGCTGTTTTAGATTTCATCTTTAACTTCATTTGTTTAATCAATATAACCAATGTGCTTCAAGAGAAAATTTCGGAATTAATTGGTAAATTTCAATTCTTAAAAGAGTGGGGACAGTCTTTTAATATCTAAGACAATTTAACATGTTTTATTATCAATAGCAGGTCAAAAACCATTTACAAATCAATTATAAATATATAATTAATTCATCTCAATTTTACAGCTAAAAACTTGTCACTTAAATCTTCTTTATATTAATAAAAACATTTTTTTATTTAAAGAAGGTACCACATGAAAATATACCATCACAGAAAACAAATAAGATGTCTTAATTTTAAATGTGGCCTTCATAACAGTGTTTAGAAACACAAAACATCATAGAACAATCACAACTATTCCATTTAGATTTTGTCCTATAACCTTCTTTGACAAACACTCCTTTTAGATATTAAATATCATTCATACAATTTTTATTTACAAACATTTAAAGGGAAAGACAAGGTTAGAATACAAACTTGATTTCAGAAAAAGAATACTATAAATAATAAATCTGCAAATTTCCTGCCGCCAAATAATAATATTAAACAAATGATAACAAAATTTAAATCGCTAAATCACCGATTTCTACAAATCAAAAAGCGCGGCCATGTTTGTGTATTGGCCGTATAAAAACATGTGCGCGTGATGTCATTTACCCACATCTTTAGATATATGATAAATGTAGTTGAATCGTTGGGAAATATTAATATAATAAAGTATTGACCAGACAATTTAATTTTCACAGGAGGTGTAGAGGACATTTTTTATGGTTCATAATACGTAACAATATCAAAAAAAAAATAAAATAAAGAAAAAAAAAAAAAAATCAACGTCTACCGGTCGCACCACCTCAGGCAAGTGTTGCCCTTTACTCCAAACAATGATTTGTTCATTAAAGTCTCATCTATATGTAATTACAATATTTCACAGATTTAATAAATACACATGTTATTATTTAACAAAGTTTCACCATCAAATAATGCAATTAAATAAACAAACGCACCAACGAATAATTGGCTGTTAATTATTGAACGACGATAATTATCATTATTATAAAAATCCTACTAAAACGTGTTCTAAATAGTACATGTAATTAAATTTTTGCAGTTTGATTCTGACTTTCAAATTAAAAGGTGTGAACATATGTTATAATTGAAGTACACATTTCAAAAATATATAAGCAACTCTTTTGAAAGGTAAATTGTAAACATGTCTGTCAACTTATGAAGCTGCGCATCGTAATCGTTGCCTAATATTAACTGCATGCAGGCAAAACACTTTTATTGGCTGCTCAAAAATCTAATTTGCATAATTTATTCACACAATTGCTGGTTCTTACTACTTATGTCTAATACTGAGCATTGTCCATTTTAATTGTTCCTAATTTGCACCAAATGTTCCTGTCACACTGTGTACTGACGATTTTTATTCCCCCCTTGTATGCCTCTGTGCCGACAGACATTTTGATCATGCACAATGTTGCCCTGATTGGTTTATCACCCTTGTCAAATATTCTGATGACAAAAAAGACATCTATTTTTTACGCTTCATCAGTGAACGGAATGACCTTAGGGGAAATTTAGTTCCACACCTGTCAAATTATACAGTCATGTCATAAAATAGCAACACATTTTTTTCAGTTACCAATAATTATTTTAAATATTAAATAGATTTATGATTTTTTGTTTTACTGGATTAAATTTACGGTAGTAGAAATGCGTATCTGTGTGGGAAAGGGATTGGGTAAGTAGATAACGTGGAAAAAAGCTATAGGGAACTGGATAAACCCGACAATATGCTTAATTACAGGGGAATAAGCAACCTGTTGCTGTTGGTACCAGTTTTGACTTGGTGCCTAAATAACCTAACGGACAGTTTTGTTTTCATACGATATTAGTCTGGCTGCTGATTTTCCTGCGCCATTCTCATTTTAGCGCCAATGGCGGAAAATCACGTCTTCAGCAGATCTCTGCATATTGGATTTAGTTGATATTTTACGCTGAAAAAAAGATACATGACTGGCGATGTACCCTAATCGGACAGCTTGTCTAGCGAAAATTAAGTACAAAATAAAAGGATATATCGTCAATTTGAAGAAGTTTCTCATAGTACCCAAATTAAATAGATTGTTTATCTTTGAAAATTAAGCAATCATTGCTTAAATCATGTGGTTGGATCATCAGCAAGCTTGAAAATCGGACAAATGATAAATAATGTCGCGGCGTCTTCAATTAATTAATTAAAAAAACTCAGTTCTGGACATATGATATTTTCATAAATAATAAATAATGTACGCAATAAGATGAATAAGTTCTTCATCAAGAACTATTTCAGTTGTACCAGCGTGTACACCTATACCGGAAGTGGGTGTAACACGTCACAATCTCGGTCTCGTCTGTCTTGAGAGAATGACAGAACGCCAAAATGGCGGCGCCCATGAACTTATTTCTCAAGTAAAAAATAGTGTCTTAAAACATGAATTTCTCACTTATAGGGTTGATGTCAACAGAAAAACTGTCATGGTACCTCTTTTTAAATGATGAATATTTATATAAGACAGACATCAATCCATCCATTCTTATTCCTTTAACAATATACATGCATAATAAGTTTTATAACATATTGACATAATGACAGTTATAAAGATATTAATTTGACCTGTAAGATATTTTTTTATACTACGTGTTCTTCTTTTTATGAATATTCTTCTTGATATGGTTGAAAAAAGTACATTTGTTATTGATCAATTCATAAATATTTTAAATTTGTTAGAGCTATAACAGTTGCCTAGTACTCCTTCTCAAACTATCATTGTGGCCCTTCGCTAAATATTATAGAGCTTAAACTGTAAGATTCACTACAAACAGACTAAATAAAATGTAACTATCACCTTTTATGTTTTAAATTGTCATTGCTACATAAGTTCTCCACCTTTTCTTGAGATTAATCATCGAAAGTTTCCGCGCCTATTCTACGATACCTCATTTAACCGGCAAATTGTTATATGTGTAAATTAATAGAAAATTTCATTTTCTTAAGGAAATTAAGACCTTCCTGATGGTACATGACCCTTAAAATTTAAATACCTAATTTACGACTCTCACGAAACTTATCTCCAATACGCTAGGCATGCCTATTTACACATGTTCGGACAACCGACTCGGTATCAGCATGGAAAAGTAAAGATGATAATTCATATATTAAAAGCTTCATTGGGCAGTATGTCAAAATTGCTGTGGCAAAGTAATAAATGGCGTCATTAAATATGTGTTTTACTGTATAAAGATGTCACTTAATAAATCTACATAATATGTATTCAGAAACAATAAGAGAGACATACATTCAGATTTAATTACTTTGTGTCAGCTTTTACAAATCTAAGTCACATTTGTCCATCATAGTTTAAGTTGTCAGTGAGCATGTTAAATTCAGAACACTATGAGAGTTTGCTATTATAATTGTTGTCTATTTGATATTTTACTTTGAAAACAATAATCAATACCCTAGAAAACCAAGGATAATTTCTGAAATTATCTTTTAAAATGTATCAGTAGCGTTCAATTCTTAAAAAGATTGGGACAGTATCTTTTTATAGAAAATGTCGTTTTTTAGTGCGTTTCGGTTTCATTTATTGGTCAGTTACCATAATAACAGCCTATCTTTTGAAATATATCACAAATTCTATTAACCATGACATCAAGAAGGATGAGCAAAATGTCTTATTAAATTTTACTTTATCTTTATTTGCTAACACATAAATTGATTTTAAAACTATGCGCATAGACGATGGCAATACTAAGATATAATTATCAATATATATTAAAAAGAACACATATATAGTTATAAAAGTATAGATATCTTATCACTTTATGCCCATTGCAATTTAATTTGACGACAATCAATATTTCTCAATATTCTTTGTAAGTACATAATTAATGACATTTACTTAAGGGAGATCTATTAGGGTTCAAAATCCTAAAAATCATAGAATGTGAAGTTCTAAAATATATTGATACACGGAACCTGAAAAGGAATTATGCAAAAGATAATAAAATAATATTCTCAGATCAGAATTTTATTGTGAATCAACTTTTGTATGATTTTCAGGCAAAATTGAGCTAAAAGCGTTTAAACGTATTTTGCCCAATTCAAATGTTTTTTTCCAAATAATCAGAGAGCGAATCATCTTTAAATTTGCACAATGGTTATTGGCTATCACCTTTAATAAAATGTACAAATTTAAGAAAAATATCATAAGTCACGTGATTTTGTAAAACAAACATCATGTTATCCTTAGTTGAGTTCTGGTAAAGAATTCTCGCCAAACTAAAGCTGAAACACGAAGTATCAAAGAAAGTATGTCAAAGAGTAAATCAATTATTCTATCGTCCATTCTTGTTTTCTTGGGCCTTTAGTTATAAACAATTCAAATTTAAAATCTGATTTTCATGATAATTGAAATAAACTATTCCTCATTTAACCATATTTACCTCCTTTGTCAAGAGTGATATCCATTTTAGTTGGCAAAAACTCTATATAAAATATATGAAACATAAAGGGTAAAAAATATATAAGTAGCAGATTTAATTGTCAATTTCTTTTACACAAATTAGGGAAAATGTTATAATGGTATCAATATGCACAAGATGTTTATCAGTTTTCTTGTAGGTGATAGAATTTTGAGCAATTTTCATTATGATTATACATATGTAACGTATTGGCAATGAAACAAAATATAACTATTCTGATTTTTTAAAAATCTTGCACAGTGGTCAAGAAGCGTGTAAATTTAAAATGAAAACTTCAAAATCTATATATTTTGAATTTCTTCAGTAATTTAAATATTGTTTAGTCATTTTTAACACAGCATTTTCCTACAGCATCAGGGGTGTCTCCAAAGTAACACTTTGTACCTTCGGCACATGATGGCCCATCGAAAATATTACACGTGCCATTTTGGCCGTTTGGGCACGTATCTGAAAAAAAATGCGTACAGCAATATTGAAAATTCGAATATTAATCAGTTTCATATATTTCAAATGAATAAATTGAAATTTTGCAGTACCTTTAACAAAAGTATTTGTAGAAAATGTAACAATAGTACAAAAGTATCAAAATAATGCAGATATTTTATAACAATAACAGTTTTGTGTATGAAATTTAGAACATATAAATGTAATTAAAGTCTCTTTTTCAAAATATTGTTTTGTTGTCTTCATGAACGAGTATTTACTTTATTTCTCACAGAGCTCACATTGACTTGTAAACTTCATCATGTTCACTAACTGAGGTCAAAGATATATCAATAAATCCTCGTCAGACATAACTATAAATTTGGAAAAACGAGATCAATTGAGAACAAAGGGTGACATCTCAAATTTGCTAACAATGACTTTTTTGCTGTAACTTCCCAACGGATTTAGACAGTGTAAGATGCTTTTCAGCGTTGGTTACACGTTACCTTATGTTGATCTGGGGTCATTTTTAGCCTGTCAAAAGTCCAAACTTTTCTTGGCGATGAGGGAGACTACCGCCCCCTTCAAAAAACCAAAACAGGAAGGGGCACATCCCCGTTTTGGTAACCCCTTGATGTATCTTTTGGTTGGGGGACCGCGCCGAAAAAGTGGTCACTTTTTTAAACAACATTTCTCAAACAAAAACAAGTGTTGGGAGCCTAAATAAGGCATTTTTTCACTATTTGACGCATCAAAAAAGGGGTGTGAAAAAGCGTTAAAATGCGTGCATATCGGATAATGGGTTAAGTAGTCTTATCTGGGTGAAACGTTTGACTAATTATCGACTTTATTTTAGACAATATAATTGTACAGTGGTGGTATATAGAAAACTAAAATATCTTACCGATACAACATTTTGCTTTGACGCATCTTGTTCCAGGTTGACAGTGAAACCCGACGTCACCTATAATTCCACACACGCCGTCTTGTCCAAATGGGCATTCATCTGAAAGTGTATATATCGGTGAAGTTTAAGTAATAAGTGATCATGATGAGATATCTTGTTTAAAAGAAAAAACTGCGGAATAGCAAAATGCAGATATCCTGAAAAAGGATGCATATACTCAAATCAAAATACTATTGTTCATGTGTAAACTAACTGCGAGACTTTGTATCTATAAATGATTTTACATCCTGGATTGATACGTACGGTCGTCTAATTTGCAGCATTCGCCAGTATCGGTACCGGGTATTCTTACACAACCGTAACCAGGAAAACATGGGACACCAAGAGTAGGGAATCTCAAGTTACAAAGACCTCCGGAGCCGAACTTACAATCAACAGCTCCTGAAAATAAAGTTTACGAAAATAAAAGAAAAGTAAAAACGATCAAAGAACATAACATAAAGCGTTTAAACAGACTTCTACAGCAGGACGTGGCCCAAAAAGAGACATTTCTATCTTTGCAATACCAAAAGCACCATGCAGCACCGTCTTAAAGTAAGAACGATTGTATAATTACAAATATGGGATTTTTTTACTTCGCAAATAGCAACAATGCATTTACTTTCAATTTGAATTCTTTAGTTTAGCAGATTTAAATCTAATTGTTTCTAGATCACATTCAATAAAATTATAATTATGTGTATTGAAGCTAGAAATTAGATATAAGAACATGGAGCACCAGTACCTAGCAAGATATTTACTTCAAAGTTTTAAAATTTAATAAGGATAGATCAAGACAATAAAAGTCTAGATTAAAAATATTTAAAATTCTTCTACATACCGTCTTTAACTTTACCAATTGGGCCCTTCCATTGACCATCTACATCTGTAGAGATGAAAAGAAAGTTGTTTATACATATTTGTCAAGGCACCCGTAGTTTATATACATACTGTAAGTATTGTTTTCGTCTTGTCGCACGTGTAATTTATGGCATTTTGAACTATAAATGTCTTCTCTCATGATTAGAAACCAAGCAAACTGATTCTGTACAACATATCAATTCGTATTACATGTATTGCTCATGGGCAATAACCTATTTCTAGAGCTTTTATTCAAGTCATGTCCAATTTCCTTTATCACACGCATTTCATCTTCACGTAAATAAATGTGGTAAGCTATACGTGTAATGCATTTCATTAAGTTAAAAATTTGACTTTTATCATTCAAAGAAGTATTTTTATAATCATAAATAAAGTTTGATCATACATGCATATCTTTGTCATTTAATTCTTACTTATTACTAACTGAGGACACTTATTAGGACACTTATAAGTAACTGAGGACATTTATAACTAAATGAGGACACGTAAGGACAAAACCTATTTATGACTATCCGAAAGCATCCAAGTGATAAATAACTCTAAGAAGTTTTCGCAAGTAATATGGAAAAACATGATTGATTTGTTTCTCCTTTTTAAAAATTCATTCGGTCAGCTGCGGAAAAATTGCTTATCCAGGATATTGGAGTTCATGAACCAGTCGCTGAGATATGACTAAAATGTGTTCTTATCAGCATAAATATCGACATAAAAACTAGCCAACACTAAGTTAAAATTTAAGAAAATAATAAAATCCTAAAGAGAAATTAGGAAATAGATTGATTGCTTTATTATGAACTTACCAAAATGCAAATTTATAAATGCATATCTACTTATGACAGATCGTAATTGCAATTGTTTTATAGTCTATTTTATATTATTTTTGCTCAATTATAAAACGTTTTCAATATGTTAATATGTAAATTACGAAGAAGTAATCAGTCAGAGATGTTTTCACTTTAAAGTAAAAACAAGTGACATTTTATAAATTGAAAAAAAAGATTCAATGCAAAAAAAAAGATGAAAATGCATCTCACGGAAAAGATGTTTAGCGTGTGTGTTTTGGTATATTGGTTAAGTAGATATTTCACATAAATGTATTTGAATAGTATATAGTTGACAAGAAATCATCCAAATCAACTACAAGTGCGTGCATACAATCATTTTACTGTCATATTGTACAATATTTTAACATTTCAACATATTGTAAGGTACGAACTTCAAGAAAAATGATAAATATGCAATAAGATAAAAAAAAGTCAAGCTACCAGCTACAGCTGGTCCTTGGCGGAATGAAGTATGTAGCCGCAAAAAGACACCCTTAAACCGGATCTGTAATGATTCAAAGTCCATTGCTTTAAAAATTGTGTGTAAGTTTACACTTTTGCCCATCATTAATATAATATATGTATATGCTTCGCAACCTGTTGAATGTAAAAAACGGTTCTTGATTATTCATAGCTCTCGAAATACAAAGCCGCTTATTGACTTGCTTAAATTGGATCTGTAATGATCTATTGTAGGCTACACCGTTTCCATTGCTTGAAAAAATGTGTGTTAGTTTACAATTGTGTCCATCATTAATATAAAATATGTATCTGTAAAACAACAAATGATTCGCCACCTATTTAGTACGCTTGAAGTAGATAAAAACGTTTCTCGATTATTCATAGCTCTTTTAAGTAAGAATATCTAAAAAAGGAGAAAATATAAACTAAGAAAAAGAAACTTGTATAAATACCTTGGATGGACAATACACCAATAAATACAAACGTTAATGCGATCATGATCACAGTTTTGTTAAGTGACTCCTTTATGTTGTATATTAATTAAGTGATCAATTATACATAAATATGCAGACCTTGAGTTGGTTTTGCATTTTTAATATACTTAATGTAAAAGGTTTGTTTCAAAGTTTTCAAATCATACTATTTATACAATTTGAATGTCCATTCGTCTGTAACCGGTGCTAAGGGGGGTACGAAGGGCGTCAACGTTACTTTATCAAAGGATATGTTCAACCAAACCGTCTTTATGACAGTTTAAAATAAGCTGTCCGAAATAAGATATATGAAGATCACTCGAGTGCAATGGAAAATGTTGAAACTTACATCGCAGATCATAAAAAAGTGTTCTTAAGCACCCTACCGTCGTCGTTAACAGTATTCATTTTATATATTTTAAGTTTTAATGCATAAATGTGTATTATATGCAATGATTTAGATAATACTTGTTTGATTACTTGTATAAAAACGTTTGTATAAATAAAAACGATGCAATGTTATAATTATACATTTGTATTTTGCATGGACGGTTTAAATATGTTCAAAAAATCATACCATTAATATAATTTAAATGTCAAATCCGTCTTTAAGCGATGTTAAACAGGGCGAAGACTGTTTACGTAGCTTTATGAGATGATATGATAATTTGATGATATACAATTATATAACCTGTGCTACGAGGGATTAACTATTGGTATATGGAAGTACGTATGACTTTCAATCAATTGCGTTATACGAACATAGCACAAAGACGCACAAAGTGTAAGCGTTAAACTATAAGCATAAAATTCTTTTTAAGTGAAAAAGGTTCTTATTTTCAGTATGATGGATACTCCGGCAAAATGAGAAAAATATTAAAATGAAGTTATGAACTCAAATCACGCTAAAATGGCATTTTTTTAAATCCCAGTATGGAATTCTGTATTTAATTCTATGTATTTGGGTTTGAAGCGTACATATATGTATATATGTTGTACGAAATTTAGAAGCTGACAGAGACACCGAGTAGTTTCAAAACACGTTTTGTGACTTGAACAAAGCCTTGAAATTACAATAAAAGATAATGTGCATATTGTATGATTAAAACAAGTCTAAGTCATTCATTTAAAATGTTATTTAACGTTTTCAAATGTCACTGTGACATCTATTGTGAAGTCTTAACGCTCTAACCTGACCTATGTGGGTTCAGGTTAGAATACAATCATTTAATACCTAATAATGAGAAAAGATTTGTTCCTGTGACTGCCTTATATATTCATTTTGAGGACATTTACAGAATAATTAATGAAAAACTCAAAATCAAGAAATGAAAATTTGCCCTTTGTCTCCCTATGTAGAATAAACTAATGCTCAGCAAAAGCATATTGTTTCAAGTTTTCTTTTTTTCATGTTCCACGCGATTGTACACGACAATATCGTGACCCGTGAGCCCGAACGCACGAATCCGATATCGTATTAAACATAAAAGAAAACAAATAAACCGCTTTTGTTTTGATATTTTTGGTAGTTTGTGACACTGAAAATTATAATTGATGAAAAATATCATATATAAATGATGACCAATAAACCAATTTAAACTATAATTTGAGATTTGATTACGCCTACTCATTATTTAAAATTGTCATACGACCCCGGGCGTACTAATACTGTTATTTTTCTGAACGACTTCTTGACAAGAAACCATGATGACTGTATTGTATTCTCATATTTATATTTGCTACTGCGTAAGTAACGTAATACATGTCGTAGATTATGCAAAGAAAGAAAAAACACGATATATTGATGATTTTATCCACATTTGTGTTGAATTAAGATGACAGTTATAATGGATTTATACATTAAACCTATTACTAGACGTTTACTTGAAATTTTTATGCCATTTTATTTCCACATTTTACCATCTGGAGGCCAGTCGCTTTAAACGTATGGTTTGTTTTTAATGTTCATAATTATTACAATTTCACAATTACTGTTGCTTTATGTAAAAATATCTTAATTATTATTTTATTGCGTTAAGATAAATTGTCTTCTGTACATCATTTTAAATAACTAAGCGTGTTTGTTGGAGCGTATTGTCTTTGTTTTTACTGTTTTCATATGCAAATTTACGTTAAAGTTCATTATCAATCTTTATTATATATGAACTATTATTAACGCCTTTATTGAAGAAGTCTCATTCTACATTGACGAAAAACTACAGTCATATGATTAAGTGTTAAAGAGCGACTTATTAACTTAATATGTTTAGCATCTTACTTGTTTTACCCTATTGTTTTTACCTCTGGCAATCGGTGTATTAAGGCCCATTATAATGCAGAAAAGTTTGAATTTTTATTACTCAAAAGCTTTTCCATGTTCAATGTTGATGTTCTTTTATAATTTCAAAAAGGTAACTCACCGGCAAGTTACCCGATACGTCTTTTTCATTTTCATCTTTTGCTATTTGGTAATAAAAACATTTCTAGTGAATAAGTATATTGTATGGAAGTCAAACTAATACATTGTTTACATTTCGCTACCATTATGACAACTTATTTCACATGCACTTTACATTTTCTAAAAACAATTATTTGAACATTATAAAATTCACGGTTGCCATTTCTTAAGAAGTATAAAAGAAATATTTGTTTCAGGGATATATTGTGCCTTTAACAAATGTATAAAATATTGTCATCGCTTCAGGAGATTAATACAAAATTATCAAACTGAAAATAAAACATCAAAATCTGTAATAATTGTTTAACAAAAACACTTCAAAAACAAAGTTGAAGTAAACGTTTTATTTTCCTTCTGCAGCGAATAATGGTTTTGATACAACATTCCATTGGACAATGATGCGTGATAATACTTCTGCTTTCTAACGTATGTACAATGTACGTATTTCTACATTTATTATCACAATTGTTTATCAACTATTTACAGACCGGACTTGTGTACCTAGCTTTATCGTTATACATTATGATTTGTCTTGTCTTACAGCACGTTATAAATAACTTACACAAATATCTGAAAGACCATGTCAGTGTATATCTTTTCAACTACATAACACTCTGAGATATTTAAATGTTATTTTATATTTAAATACAGTATCATAATTCTTTTCGTAACATTTTTCATTATTTTCGTATAAAGATATAACGATGTCCAACAAATTATGAAAATTTATCTCAGTTAGGGTGTGTTTTCTCTATTTAGAATTTATAACTCCCATCTCGTTTAGTCACATAAATTTATTGAAATTTATGAAATTCTTACCGAATATTTCTAATTTGAAAAAAAAGAATGAATAAATTATGTATAGTAAGCTACATTCCCTATTACAGGTCAAGTAAAAATGGTATTTTCTTAAAGAAAACCTGCCGGGTTTTTTTAATGGCACTATATGTTCATATTGCAATCACCTATAGTATGTAGAATTTTAAACGCAACATATCTACTTTGTTAGAAGTCAAAACAGTTTTATTTTATAATTAAAAAGAGACTGTGTAGCAATTATAAATATTTTCAAATATGAAATTTGAACATAGTTTATCTTTAATGATTATACATATTCTTTATGTTAAAAAAAAAAACAGACAAAAAACTTAACGTTAAATAAATATAGTGCAAAAATGTGTTTGCAATGTGAATGAATTGCTTAAATAAACATACGGACACTTAAACACTTTTTCACATCTTGGAACTTCTTTTTCCATTGACATAATCAAGAGACAGTCTTAGATACAAAATGTTTTTTTTATGAAATAAAGTTGAAAGCACGAGGATACACTTCATGATGTCAATATTTTTTGTATTGATGTATCATATTTATAGAAACAAACATTTTAGTTTGTTTGCTATTGCTATTATCTTATGTTTATATGTTAGTTTTTTACGTCGTCCTAACATGGGTACAGAGTTTTGTGAATTATTCCTGGTTGGTGTATTTTTCATGACATCCGTCGATTCGTTTTGGAAGGAATGGTCTTTGAAGGAAGCAAATATTTCATCCGCTATGTCAGGATGTTTCTCAGACATTCTTTTGTAGACTTCTGTCATTTTCACTCCATAGTACCAAGCGTTAGCGTCTGTTACAATAGTTCCAAGAAGCATTGTTACCATACATACCTTGCCATCAATTATGGCGATCCCTGGCGCACCAGAACATCCATATTTGAAATTGTCCGACTCAAATAGTATCCACTCTGATGGAGTGGATTTTGTTGTATAGTCTGTACTTGCAATGACTGATCTTCGTATTTTTCTCGATGATTTGATATTGCAAATTGTGTAAAAAGGAAATCCTGGATAACAGTCTACGACCAGTTTTAATGGCTTCATTTCGGTATTTTCACTAGCAAGTTCGAGCACTGAGAAATCAATGCATTTATCATGAAAACAAGGTTTTGCAAGATGTTTCTCTTCTACATCAGGAAACTCAACATAGATGTTTTCTAAGTGATCTTCAACAGGCCGGTTTTCTGTTTAAAAGAGATTTCAAGTTCGAAAAATAATGAATTGTTATTCCTTTTTTAAACTATGTCAAGGAATCTAAACTGAAATAGTTTTAAAAATATTTGTGAATTTCAAAATTATATTTCAGCCGTGTTAACATTGATATTTGAATCAAGAAAAGACACACAAAAAACAAGAAAACGACGTGTTACCTATTACTTTGGCAATGACATGATATGCAGTCATGACATATCTTTTCCCAACACGAAAACAAGTACCAGCTCGATTTCTACCAATCAGTATAGAACCAACATAGCCCCTCGTACTTTCTGATATCATGTTAGATGCATTTTGAAGAGCAATCTCCCTTGATGATCTCTTTGAAAAATATGTTGTGTTAAGAGAGCCTAGAAACGACAAATTTGAAATCAGTTCAAAATATGACTCTACAAATATAAATGCATTTCAAAATGACTGAATCTGAATTCCATATGCAATATCTGAAGGGAAAGCAAACTAATGGACAGATACATACCATACTTTTCAAAATGAATGTCTATATCAGAACTATATTCAAGTAGGTGTGACTTTGTTAAACTTCTAAAAGTAACCTCTGGTATTTTTGTAGCCAAATCTCCAGCAGAAACCGTTTCACTTATCTTGTGGTCAGGTTTTTGGCGTAAAACTATAGAAATGCCTTGGTTCGTACTATCTGCTTTCAGATTAGTCGTTTCCTTCTCTACTGGATTTTCTACAGATTCAGTTTTCTTCTCACTCGAATTTCTGACAACCTGACAGTGAAGATAAGGCCTTAATTTTTCACTCTCTGTTACGCTTAGCGTCAAACTGAATTGCAACTGGATATCGTATGTAGACGTGTTATTATGGTAGAGTGGGCATGCAATGACCTTCATTATGTTATCCAAATCACCTGCCTGGAATTTTGTGACGAATTCACAACCTTTTGCAACAGAATCTAGCTTCAAATGTAGCAAGATGCATTCTAATGACGACTTTTCATATATCACACCTAACGGTTCTAGTGCTTCTTCAAGTTTTCTTCTTGGTTCACTGTCTTTGTCCTCAAGCAAGGCTATAGTACGTTTATGTTTTTCTATTAGCTGTTCGTCAGACAGTGTTTCTGATCTTTCTCTAATTTTCAGTTTTAATCTATGTTCAGAACCTGAAATATTTACGTAAAGGCTTTTCTCTTTTTGCATAATAATTTTTAGATAACAATTTGCCCGAATAATTTATTCTCAGTATCTTTCTTGCAGTTCAAAAGATGGAAAAAAGTAACAAAGTTACTAAATTAAACCTTTGTTACTGTGATTTTGACCTTATTGACGAGCTTCTGAAAAAGAGGTTCTGTAACTCTTCCTTAAAAGTGTAACATAAGATTTGAACGAAGTATTAAAAAAATTGCTCAAAGGAACAATAACGGTGAGCACTTATTTGATGTCTTTGACTTGTAACTGTAATATAAGTGAAAAATGATTTTGCATAATTATATAACAAACAAATGTGACCAAATTTATGTACACAGGAGTATCTTCTCAATAAACAATGCACAATTGTGTATAAAATTCAGTTAAATACATTACCCTCAGTGCCCGTTGATTCCATTTCACGTAGGACGGCTATCAACTCCTTTGATGTCCTAAAGGTTGCAATGATATATTGAGACGTATTATCGCCAACAACAATATTTTTTGTTATTGAATAGTCATCGTCATTATCTCCCGTTGGTAAATGAATGACGTATTGTTTAGTGTTGTCACCAATCAAAACATTGTTTGTCGCTTTTGACTTTGAAGTGTCCGGATGGTTAGCTTTGAACAAACAAAACAAAATTAGAATGCCTTATATAAAAAAATCTTATCAAAGGTAAAATGATTACTAACATTTTTTTGTAACGTTTATGAATAAAAGTAATACATTGATAAAAAGATAGATATGTTGAAAATATGTTATGGTCTCACGTTAGTTCCAAAAATTATAGACCTTCTAAAGCCAACAACAAACGGAGATTTGTAAAACAATAAATCAAAGTAAAACAATAATGCGTTTCATATATTTAGAAAACAAATACCTTCTGGCCTAATTCCCGCTGTTCGATTTGCGTCAAGTGGCCGCAATGAGAAAAAATGCCCCTGTCCACCATAGCCAATGTAAACAGTCTGCAAATGACGAGTTACCTCAGTACCGGCTGGCCTTATCACTGTTGTCTCTTTTCTGTCGTAATGAACAACCTCGATAGTTCTGTTATAAGCATCAGCTATTTCGTGTAGCATTATTGCATGACTTTTCCAAACTTCTTGCTCTTTCCGAAAAGTAAGGTGTCCTTTAACATTTTGCCAAAATGATAACGATATATTTCCTTTGGTCTTGTTCCTGATGATATCTGGTGTGTAAGACCCATGACAGTTCAGATGGCTTAGCTGATCTGCTATCGCTTCGAAAAGAGAGCTCCCCTCTATGTTATGGATTTGCAGCTTTAGCCCATGTGCATATGACCGTAAACGTTCAATGTTTGGTTTTCCTGCAAGAGAAATATCAAAAGTAATATTCGTACGTTTTAAATTGACACTTATCTTAAAGCCTATGAAATTTATGGCATATATAAAATCATTTTATTTAAAATGTGTTATTTATCATACAAAAATGTTAAACAGATGAAACAGTAACATTTTTTTACAGACAGGCTTGTTTCTTTTTGTTTTGTTTTTTATCTATTTGTTTTTACGTCAACTAAAAAAAAAACATCAATAAGAAGGAATAATGTATACACTTTCTTACAATATCAAGTATTACGGTTTCAAAAGTATTAGTCCTTTTCTTGCTATTACATGTATTCATGTAATTATACACCTCATGAATAAATGAGCACGAAGCTTTATCCAGTAGACCTCTGTAAAATTGATATTTATCATTTCACTGTTGTCAATATTGAGACAAGTAGAGTAAATAATTGCCAAACTTTAAGGTCATATAGTAACATAAGGACAAATATTTCCAGAAAAAAGTTTCTTTGTTGGGTATATTCTTTAATGATCAATTTTGACTTTTCAAACAAATGTACGTTGGGGCGTATATTGCTCCACCAGCACGGAAAAATTTATAATACCCAAAATTGTACAATTGTATTATTGCAGGCACCCGAGCAGAACCACTAACGTTCCGTAAGCTGGCTGGATAACTTTCTTACATGAAACAATCCAACGCTCGACCACGGATGCCCCTTATTATCATATTTACATTGCGTAAATAATTATATGTGCAAAAAAGGAAATCACTATACCAATTATGAATTGTTTCGACCATGCCATGACCAATGCGGCAATAGCGACGAGAAAGGCAATAGCGAGGCCAAATGTGTGCGTGTTTATTACTTCCATATTTCTGTAGATCTGCAAAAAAGGCTGTAGAGTAAACAGTACATTCGGAAAAGTACATTTATAAAACAAAATGCAATTTTGTTAAATTCTATTAAGTGGATCCTTAAAGATCCTGCAACTCTTTTTATGGTTTTATATTATAAATATAATGCTCAAATGAAGATTTATCAATATTGGATGTTCCAAAACGCATTATTTGTAAAGATATTACAGAATTTACAGTTCATGTTAATAAAGGGGGTATTAAGAAATTTATTTTCTATAAAGCCTAAGCCATTTTTTCAATAAAAAATGAATGCATATATTTCAATGATTGCATATAAGTTATACCAATTATTTGCAGTATATATGTTTCATATTCTTCGATGTTTGAAATTTGGTTTAGAAGGATAATTATATACATATATAAAATTCTACTTAAGTGTGGTAACAACCTTAATTACACATACAGGATCTTTATGCCAAGATACGATTGACAAATGTATTATCTTCAGGTACTGACTTTGATTAAATTCCGATTTACAGGTGCTTTTCATGCGATCTCTTTTATTTATTAGATACAGAACTTGTTCATCATTAACAGTGTTTTTTTTTCTTTGTTACAAACGATGAATAGATAACACACGTCTGTATCTTTGAACAAAATATTTTTAAAACTAAATACGTTCTGTATTCTAAAAATACATTTTAAACTAACAATAGCATATTATCTGTATTCTAAAAATACATTTTAAACTAACAATAGCATATTATCTGTATTCTAAAAATACATTTTAAACAAACAATAGCATATTATCTGTATTCTAAAAATACATTTTAAGGATTCCTTTGACATAGTGAAAATGCGTAATTGACGAAACAGACAAATTTATGCATAAATGTAATTGTTCAATATTGTTTCTAAACTGGCAATCATAACAATTATGGAATCGAATTTAAACTTTTACCAAACAGGTTATACATGTTAAAATAGATAAATATATGATAAAGATATAATCACACAAAAATGTCGATAACATATCGGTCAGGTAGAATTCAATAAAAGGTGATTAACAAAGGGAAATGCTTGAAAACGAGGAAAATATATTATTGTATAAGATACTGTACCTTTGAATAGATTTCATTAAAAGTGATTTTATGTAATAATCCAGTTTTTTTTCCTGTCAAATTAAAACACGTACATTTTTAAGTCTACATTCCTAAATATGACGATGTCTTTATAAATACCTCAAGGGATACCATAAAAAAATTCACGTCGGTTAAATGCTACCAAATTATTCCCTTCAGCATACAATATATCAAGTTTTCTTTTTTTTTCAATATATATATGATCAATGAAAGTGACAACTATTTATGCACAATAGTTGACATGACAGAAATTTCACGTTAAACGTGTATTCGTTTATCAATAGTGTCAATGCATACAGTTTTACATATTTCTTACAAAAAATTCGAGTACTGCAGTCATTCGATCCTTCGTGCGGTACATTATATTTTGATACTCTACCTATTTCTTATAATAAAATCGTATTTTATTTTGAGTCTACGGATTGTCTACAAAAATTATCCTAGTGGGAGCATTCAGCGATGCCATAGAATCTTACCATTATTGATAAAAAGTGTATGTATAGATAAATGGTTAACCAGCAGGCTTCTCTCGTGTATTGACCTAATGTTACGAATGTATATTTATTTAACATTCATTATTACCTCAAATACAGTACAACCTCTTGTTTACATATAAAACGGTAGTCGCGATGTCATTTCTCCAAAGTTCAATGCGTTTGGATCCATAGGTATTATTTTTCGTTTTATTATTTATAAATGACTCACTAAAATGACCGGATTAGAGGGTGCAAAGATCTTTTGTACACATTGTTTTGAAATACAAAAGTTTCGTTTGAATTTTTTTTGTAATATGCCATACCCTATTTTATCACAAAAAACGCGGCGCAGGAGCGTAATAAAGCCATTTAATAAAACGATATTACACCAGTGTAATAACACTTCGACGTGACGTCATTTGTGCTATATAGAAATATAGCGTTAAAGCGCGCTAATGTTAGCGTTACACTATAGGCGCGTCATTGAAAAAATACTCATTTTAACAGTTTACTGTTCTTATTTTATATATGTGATAAAAAGAATATTATATTTGTGCAGATTCAATACTAAATTTATTGAACTCGTTGAATTAAACAATATTATGCTCGCCAGGGGCTCGCATAATATAATTTTATTCAACTCGTTCAATAAATTTAGTATTAAACTACACTCATTCAATATCCTCTATATATAATGTGTTGCTTAAGAAAATATGTGAAATTCATTACAACTGAGCTAATTTCGACACCCATGTCACTATGTTATTATTGCAGTAAGGTTTATATACGTTAATTTCAATCATAGACTACCATATCAACAGGCTTATACACGCTTGAATTCTATAAATAGTTTATCGCGTATGTTTAATAGTAACGTAATCAATATTAGCACTATACCATAAGATAGGAAAATACATTTGGTCTACAATACATGATTTATACCACATTTTATAATGATTTTAAAAGTTAGATCAGATAAAGTATATAGTTGTACACCTGAACCTTTGGTTTCCTACACATGACGTTTTCTTTATAAATAACTCAAGTAATACTATCCTTCGTGTCTAGTCGTTATAACTGAATATAGGACATTTGTGTTACGTTTGAGTCCAGATAGGATAACGCGAATCTTGCAGTTTTATTAAATAAGTAATATTGTCCCACACATTTTAGGTAACATAAATATTATTCTAAATACAGCATTTTTATTCAAAATAATGCGTGTACTGATTTTATACTTAGTGTGCATATATATTTTACGGCCTTTTGGTATGAGTACAGATACTAAACTCTAAACAATATTAGATCATGCTTTACATAATTCACTTATAAGATATACAGGTTATTAAAAAGTTATCATTACAAAGTATTAGAGTGTAACTTTCATCAAAATGTCCAATGCAAAGGTTCATTAAAGTACATATTAAGTTGCATATAAAAGACCAAACACTCTTCAAGACATAATTAACTGAATTACAAAATGTTCATCCAGTGTTATTGAAAGCAGGTTTTTACTGGAACTTATATTCATGGTACGTTTATTTGTATAAGCAGTGAAACATTGCAACGAAATTTCCTTAATCTTTAAAAAACGATTAAGTGCATCGGACAATAACATTACATTTTAAGTATTTTCACTCTACTATTTCCTCTCTCAATCAAACGATTTATGTACTTTATATATTTATTCACAAATAAATGCAACAAACAAAAAGTATATATTTGACGTGTGTTTTATGTCGGTAGCATGCATGGCAGTGACCTATAACTACTTCTGTTTGTATAAATCATGATTTTGTGAATTTTATGCAAATATTCTTTTTTTTTTATATTTAGTGTCCAATTTTATTTGTCATCCGATGGAAACGCTGTATTTCTTCAAAAAGATTGTTCAAAAACTGCATGTATAAATACAAAATGTCAATAAATATTTTTATTACGAATGTAGAAAAAGGTCTTAATTAATTTGTAACTAAGAGGAAAGTCACGTGTGTCTATTCACTTTTTTTCGGTAGACAGAAAGTGAAAGTAGACATTATGTTTTTGGAAAATATATTAGGTGACCTCGTGTTAACACATGACATCTAGTGTATACATGTATAAATCATATAAAATATTAGCTAGAATCTACTGAGTATCAGTTGTCCAACTCATTAAAGTTTATAAATCATATCAGGTAACAATTAACCAACTCATCAAAAAATCTTTCCGAAAATAAATGTTTCAATATCGAACAAATGGAAACCTGCATGCTGCCAACTGAAACACAAGGGTAACATGGGTTTTCGCACGCAAAGTGACGTACATAATGCATATTTATAACGTCAAATTTAAACCCACCATTCAGATAATTAATAAATAAAGTGCACTGATAGTGACGTAATAGATTGAATATTAATGAGGCAAAATAAAGTTTGACACTAAATATGTTAGTAACCATCCGAAGCTGTTCTACAGAAATTAGAAACATTCTCTTGTCGCTTTCGCTTCCGCCGAAGTTTCTATTTTTGTAGAACAGCACGGATTAACACTAACATATACTTGGTGTATGTTGAACTAAGATATTATATGATTTGAGACATCAAATATATCGTATTTCCAATATTTACATTTTTTAATCTGTAACGTATACTCAAACCAATCTTCGGTCTGTCACATCTTGTCGATGTGTATCTACAGATAATGGGTATACAGTTGTGTCATACAGAAGTTGAGGCTTCTAGTACGTGTACAGACTTTCTCATTTTAAAACTATGAATTATAAGCTCCTTTTAAAACTATGAATTACAAGCTCCTTTTAAAACTATGAATTATAAGCTCCTTTTAAAACTATGAATCATAAGCTCCTTTTAAAACTATGAATAATAAGCCGGGATATTTGATACATGTACATGTATGTAGCATTTGCTCTGCGGCCCCTACAAACTATAAATCACAGTCCTTCAGTTAACATTTGTCCTATAATTAGAAACGGTGTTACGTTCGTTTAGTCAAATCATTCATTTGAGCTGTAAGGTGTATTTATTAACTTAGCTTTAATTAGTGTCCAGCCTTACTTGTCATCCAATGAAAGGTTGTAACTTTTAAAATTACTGTGTGATAATTTTCATAGAAGAACAAAGACGAAACTATTTCAAATTTCGTTCATAGTCGCCTTCTATTTTCAAAGTGCTTAATAGAACCGCGTTCGTAAAATAGAAATGTAGTGACGTAATAAAGTGATTATTACTGACGCAAAATAAAAAATGACACTTAGTATGTTAATGTTCATCTCTAGCTGCTTTACAGAAATCAGAAACATTCTCATGTCGCTATCGCTACCGTCGAAATTTCTAATTTTTGTAGAACAGCACGAATGAACACTAACAAATTATACTTAGTATCAAGCTTTATTTGTCATCAAATAAAAACGCTGTATTTCTTAAACAAATTGTGTGTAAATTTCTATAGAGGACAAAAGTCGATGCTATTATCAAATTCCGTTCATAGTCAGCGTCTCTTTCCCATAGTTTTTCATAGTATCGCGTTTGTACAAATAGACAGGTAGTGACGTAATCAATTTAATATAATTGAAGCCAAATAAAGCTTGATACTAGATATGTAAGTGTTTATCCGTAGTTGTTCTACATAAATTAGAAACATTTTCCTGCCGCTATCGCTGCCGCAGAAGATTCCAATTTTTGTAGAACAGCACGGATGCACACTATCATATAATACTTGGTCATCGCATATTTTCGCATATTTAAGATTTACAATAGAAAATAAATAGAATGCACGGATCAGGTACAAGCTGTTCGTTCTGAAAAATAAACAGCATATGTTTTCCGTCTTTGTGTTATAATAGGACAACTTTCAAACTTATTTTGGTTTCGAGATGATTATGTGTGTGTTTTTCTAGGTGTTCCCTTATGACTGATTAGATGTGCAAACTCAAAGAATCTTTAATAAATGTCTCTTTTCCTTTTAATGCAAATGTAAGAAATATTATATAAGTAGCTGTAATAAATTTCATACAAATGCGGAAGACGGAATACGACTTAAGCAGTTTGTTTATTTTCTGTTCACAACAAAATATGCTTGGGTGATGCAAATTTCAAATATTTATATTTAACAGTTTCAATTCCTCCTGCGTATGTCTGTATGCAAACTGTAGGTTGTTTATTATATTAACAAAAGCGTATTTAAAATCGATATTCGTAAATGTAACGCGACAGCGGTTTTCAATACCGGGTATAATTACCTGGTCTGTATAATTACGGAAATTTTATATTTACACACTCAGAACGATCGATTCAAAAGACGATATTTAAGGGAAGGAAGATAAATAAGTAAGGTATTATTCGCATATTTGAAATAAATAACTTGAGAGTTATAACCAGCTCTCTTATATACAGTAATTTTAAATCACGGATATTGGACTAAGAGGTTGTTCTAAATTTTAAAACAGGTAATTCACTTTGCTCATTCTGTATCTCAATTTATTTCATATTATAGGAATGCCTTAATCAGAATTGGTCCTTTGATTATTATTTTTTTCTTTTTGGAAATTGATATGCTATATTTGTTGCATTTTATGGCATCTGATTAAATTGTTAAAATGCTCTCTTCTCTACTGAAAACAATACAGTAACTGTAAAATAGCGTCAGTTTTAATATTATTTCCTTTTCTGAATTGCCCTAACATTGTAAGTAACTTGTGCCTACTGTTATTGATTTCCCTATTTTAAGGACCACTATTAGTTATTTTGAATCTATTTGTGACTTCGTTAATCAATAGCCCTAATTTTCCAAAAAAAATGTGAAACATATACTGTAGAATATTGGAAGGGAACCAAATTTCCCTAAAATAAACTTTAGGTTCGAATACGAAATAATGAGCATTGGATTTTCTTTTGAAAGTCGACATGACGGAAAAAATCCAAAATGGCCGCCATGTCTGTTTATAATGTTTAGACGCTTAATCTGTTGTATGAATTCCCACAAGATGCTTTTAATATTTCATATGAGAAAGCTATTTACCTTGCTTCTAGCCCATTGCCACAACAATCCCCTTAAATATAATTACAATAAGATTAATAACAATTTGAATTTCTCATTCATTAGCCGATGGCATATAAAAATGATCGGTTTTGTATAAGAATATTTTATGTAAGTTTTCGCTTATTTTCCGGTATCAATTTATGTGATGTGTTCAATACAAGTTACCCATTCAATACTTGCATTGGTGATATATTTTGAACAAACAAAATATACGAATATATCTACAGATTTTTTTTTCAAGACATCTTTTATGTTTAAATCTTATAGACATTTAATTACCAACCAAATGGATAGGTGGTCAAAATCATTTGAAGAAAATAATGTCATAAACAAAGATTGCATAGAGTTATTACGCAAAATATTATCTTTAATATTTTTGATTCATTTTAAGATGTTAAGATGGCCGTTGTGATTTTATTGTTTACTTTAATAGTTAAAAACTCGTGAATTTGTTAGGACAATCAATTTGGCAAATGGCTCTTTAAAGAGAATGATTGTTCAACAATATTGTTTTTAAATTCCAAAGATCGTGGGATTATATAAAGATATTGTAAAAAAGATTTCATAAAAATGCATTTCAATGAAGAGTTTTCGTAAACATTTTTAAAACGTCATTGATTTAAGCTTTCAATGTAAATTTGTAATGTCTAATTTATTTAATACTTTATAGCTGTGCGCGTTTAATCAATAGTTACACAAATATCTCACAAATACATCACATGACTGCATGCATTCAAAGGGTATCGTAACTATATCTTATTATTGCGGAACAATAAATGCATTCATGTTTTGAATTCTAAAACACAAACAACGTCATTTTTTTGCAAAGCTGTATAAGATTTAACACAAGATAATATCAAAACGAAAATTTAAAGTATCGTGTTGCTTGAATTTTATCACGTTTACTGCTGCATTATGCATCCGCTGTAAGTGGTTTATCTAACGTAAGCAGTTGTTAATCACGCGGATAGTGAAATTTGTTACATATATTGAATATAAAATTGTGTTATGATAAACCCGCTGGTTGCTATCACTATAACACCAGTCCAGTGATGGTTTTGATGAAATAACAAAAGGGCAATGATAGCACTCAATTGCTTACCTGAGTTGATGGCTCAAAAGAAGAAACACTATTGATTTTTGTCCGCCGCCTCACATGATGGTATAAAATAAACTTTATTTTTTTGTTATTTTTCATTATTATAAGAATCTTGTCTGATCGTTTTTTCAAATGTTAAGACCTCTGACTTCGTTTTGTTGAAAACTAGGTGTTAATAATAATATAAAATCAAACATAGCATAACATTGTTGTATTTTAATTAGATAAAGGCATACACATATCTTAAGACAATAAGATATAAAATCAAACAATGTCCCCACAGGACACTGAGTAATGCATGATAAATAAATCGCGTTTTAACCTGTCAATTAGATAAGTATTTTGATGTAGGGTAAACACCATTCAATTTGTTTTGCAGATAATGTCTGAGGAACACTCGTGGAGAGATGGAGGGTACTTAGCGTGGTTAAAAGCAGCAAAAGGTCTTGAATATCTTCAAGAAGGCCTAGAAGATTTTGTTGAGGACGGAATAAATGGTCACCACGACATCCTTCTCCAAACGATCGGTATAACTGAATCATTCACTTGCAAATCTTGCACGATTGACAATATTCTTCCCGAACACCCAGGTGGAATATGTTCACAAGAGCACAAAAGTAAATGTCTTTGTACAAAAAGAAAAGCAAATCGTCGCCTTTGCCCTTCGCGATTTGCAGTAAAATGTATGATTGCATTGTGTGTGATCATTTCTTCACAGACCCACTTTGGAGTAATACCGACCCAAGGAAATGGTGTTCCGATCCATGGAGTATTGCCAAAGCATATCAATCCACAATCGGGCAAAACACTTCAGCAAAAGACACAGATGCATCTGGTTTGCTAAGTATCATTATTAACGACACCACATTCACCGATAAGCTTCGACACCCAGTTAAACGGGGTATAGATCCAGAAAACAACATTTACTGTAAGGTATGAAACATTTAATTACTTTGATTTCATTTTAAGCGAATTATTTTCTAATTTTGATCAGGAATCATCATAAGTATTTACATTGTACGTAGAAATAGAATTTAAAATTAGAAAGAAACATTAATGTGTTTCATAATATGCATAGTACGGATGTCCGTACTTAAAAAAATATGGCGGGAAACATTTTCAGTAACGGATGGTGTGCGTATTAACACATATTTTAAATCATAAAGAAATCGATAAGAAGATCATTTGACGAAATATAAATTGTTTATATTAATTCCTATTGCATACGGGATGCGGGTAGTTATTAATATATATGTGTATATCCTTTTCTTTTCGTTCTTGGTTGAATGCACAGCTAACTTTCTTTGTGTATCAACATCTTTAAATTGAATTTCCGCAGATATAACAACGAGACACGTTGTATTTTAGTAATAAACACATAAATGCAATTATGTGGCATTTTGGCATTTGTTCAATACCATCTACTGGAATACTTAAAATATGATGAAAATATGGAGATTGTAAAACTTGAGAAGAGTTACCAGCCGTCTTTAACTCCGAGGTTCCTTATTTCGCTTAATTGTTGCAATCATTTTCATCAATTAAATATCTTCAGGCAAGAACGGCCCGAAATGACATTCTTCATTCTCCTAAAATGAAATTAGATGAAGCGAAAATGTTGGAGTACATTGACTTGTTCAGTGACGTTTTGAAAGATATAAAGGGTTTATTGGAGCAAGATAAAGCTATGAGGGCTTATAAAGCACTTGAACAGGTCGGAATTATTTAAACTCTGTATTCATTTTAATGCAATACATTAAATAACAATTTCGTTTTATATTTTAAGACTGTTGTGAGGACATTGTATGAAATTTTATATTACAAAGAACGTATGGATTATTTTGTACAAACATCTGCGTACTTAGCAATAACTTTTTGCTGTTGTTACCGTTATTTTAGTTCTAATTTTACTTAATTTCAGTTGTCAAATTTAACCTCTATTATATTTCTTTTTTCTTTATTCATAGGACGTAATTAATATAATATACTAAATAAATAAAATATTTGATACTTTACATATATATTTAGTTAAAATCAGCTGATATTCACATCAGTAGTGAGGATGAAAACAAGATACGAAAACTACGTGAAAATGCCATAAATGACATAGAACTTGAAAAACAAAACGCATTAACTGCAATAAAAGAAGCAGCCGATCAAGAAAATGAAAGAATAAAGTCGGTAAGATAATCTAAAATACTGAAATCAAAACTATAATTCTAGTTAATAAGTTAAACAGCACATATTTCAATATTCAGAAGTTTTGTTTACTTAAAAATAAATATTTGGCCTTATATCGTAGGCAAGCGATGCGTTTAATAATTTAAACACAAAAAGTCATTTTATTAACATTCTTCTTATCTGTGCTAAAGTAAAGTCGATAATTGATATGTGCCTAGTATGTCATATTATTTAAGAAAACATCCTTCCTCGAACTGCACCATTAACAACTTCTCTTAATCAATTGTTCTTATTAGTTCGTAGTCTAATTTCTAATCAATTCGTATAAATAAAACATTGATATGATCTTAACACACAATTTGTTATAATTGTGCAATTAATTTGCCAAGCTTGGATTTTAAATTCTATTTATATATGTTAGGATTTCAATATAAAATATAAAACCCTGAGGTAAGAGCAGTACAGCGCGCGCTTGATCAGACCGCATGCATTTGCAGACTTCCTGAGTCAATACTGTTGGCAGTGGCTAACAACTTTATATTTTAGTACTATTAAGGTTAATCAATAATATCTTATGATAAATAGTTTACTTAATAATATTTTTTAATGTAAAACAATTTGAAAAGAGTAATTTAAAAAAAAAAACAACACATTTTTTGCTTTGTTACTTACCAATCATTATCAAATTTTTGAAAAGTATTTTAATTTCAGAATGCATCAACTGTAGTAAACAAACTAGATGAATTGTCCGATTACGAAAACACAAAGTCAGGTCTGAGCTTCCATTGAACTTTTTTAAATATATATTTTTTAATGTAAGATGCCACTGCTAAGTCAGTTTACAACAGTTAATGTGCTATTTTGTTATTTTCGAAATAAAACAGTGGCTAAACAACATAAATTTTAAAACAAAATCATAGCAATTCAACAATCTATTTTTTTAAATGTTTTATAAACTAATCATTATTGAAAATGACACTTATTTGTTTTCTGCAATAAAATATCTATCTTTATCCATTTTTTTCAGACTTTGTGAAGGACCTAATATCTTTCAACAAAAGGCACCACAGCACTATACCAGTATCACCACTTTTTGATTTTAGGGCAGCGGACTTGGTAGAATTCTATGTTATACCCGAACTTAAATATGTGGACGTCTATGGAGAATTGTCTTGATATCAATCTTTATCATAGGAAAGAAGAAGAAATAGCTGTTTAATTTCATCTGAAAACATATTTTATACAAGAATTCTAACAAAGGGCGTAACGAAAATTTACATGATTGCAATGCTGGGTTTGGGGGAAAACGGCCCTTTTTTGCAAATTTCTGGTGGTAAAGTGGTGTTATGCCTACGAAAAGAAACCAAAAGAAAAAGCTGCTTTCTTAGACCAGCGATAGCTCTGAAACTATGAGAGAATTCAAAATGGGTTTTGTTTTTTCAAAATCTCTTTAGAAATTTCCCACGGATAAGATTGTCCACAAATTGATGATATGATAGAAAAACAAAGTTTGGCTTCAGTCCTGGCAGGGAAAGTTTCATATACGAGCAAGTTTATGCAGGGAAATCTTAAGCAGAAGAAAGGGTGTCTTAATAATTTTGTAGATGGTTTGGATGAAGGAAAAAATGTTCTTTTCCGGATGAAAAAAAGCAATTCCAGATAGAAGATCAAGACCAAATTGTACGATTCTTACAACAACAAGAACGTGGAAATTCAGCATGTTACTGCTCAAACCTCATGAAATTCAAAAGAAAATACTACTTTCTGGACTTGATGAATCATCACGAAAAAAAATGGCAGAAATAATTATTTCAAGTTTAGATTCGACCAATATTGATTACAAAACATTTTGGAACGAAATTGAATTGCGCTCCTTAGACGATTTTGCTCAGAATCCTTTAATCTACATGTCCCTCATTTGCCTTTGGATTGAAGAGAAAACTCTGGGGACTACAAGATCTCAGATTTATAGTAGTCTGTTAGATGTATTGATATCCTGGTATGAACAGAGAACAAGGGAAACATTGGGTTCTAATGCAGATGAAAAAACAATTCAACAAAGTCATTTGTCCAAGTTCTACATAGAAAATCCAAATTGCAAAAGATACAAGCATTTTATTGATACCCTTTCAACTTTGGCTGCTGAAACACTGCTGACCAAGTCGAAACAAAATTCTTTGGTATTTGATGAACACGTAACATGCAAACACCTTTCAAATGATTTCTTGGCGTTTGCTTTAGGCATTGGAGTTCTGACAAAACTTGAGGTTCCAGTTAAACTGATAAGGAAGCCACTAGCCATGTATAGTTTTCTACATAAAACATTTCAAGAGTTTCTTGCTGCACTTAGTTTGTGCTCGACTGAAAAGTTCCCAAGTGTTTGCAACTCCCTCGAAAGTATTCTCGATCAGTCGAATGTATTCATTTTTGTTTCTGGACTTTCAGGAGAAGTTATCAAAATGTTTTCACAATGCATCAAAATTGTTGTGTCAAAAGATCTAGTCGTTCAGAAATACAGGCAAGAGGCTCTGTCATCGGATTACATACTGTACTATCGACCGCTGATGATTGAACACCAAGAAATGTTCATATGTTGCATGAAAGAACTTCAACCGAAAGAGCAGACGTTTTGCACAATTGAAGATTTCATTATCACGGAATCATTTACGAATTCTCAAAACATCCACTACCTGAAATCATTGCTGGCGTCATCAATCGCTGAAAATACAGTAAGAAGTCTTACAATCGACAATTTAATGTCAATGGGAAACATAATTGATATCGTGGAACAATTTAACTTGGGTCAGATACATTCTCTTGAGCGCCTAGATTTTTGGGGAATTTCTGATTATGGAGACTTCTCTGCGATTATGTCGAAGTCAGAATATTCCTTAAAATGTTTGACAATTCATTTTAACAAAAGCAACGAGGACGGAGTGTTTACCCTGCTTTCATCCAGTACATTGTTGCATATGAAAAATATGCAAAGTCTTGGGAGTCTTTCCCTGTGGTATGTGAGTTTAAGCCATCTGGATCTCAAAGAATTGCTGACGTTTATCAGTCAAAAAACAGACATGTCCTACATTGGACTTCAAGATGTGAGATGTGATGACTGCTCATCTTGCGAAGGTTTTTGTTTTGATTTGTCAAGACACGGGAAGCTAGAGATTTTAAACATTGGGCATATTCCTTTAAAAGAAATACAAATAAACACAGTCACTTTGAAGGAATGCCGCCTTGTAGAGTTTCCATTCAGGAATGTTTTACCTTCCATATTAAGATGTCTTCCTTTCGCAGAGAATCTTGAGATATTTGTTTGTCATTTTCTAACATACCCTAAAGAAATCAACGACGTCATGCAGTTGCTTCCAAATTTAAAGAAACTTAAGATGATAAGGTTCTATGGAATGAATATGGAAACACTGGAGTGTATTTTACCCGAAAGCTTACAAAACATGGAATTATTGCAGCTGTTTCGAGTAACTCTTTCAGACTTGGCTTTAAAAAATATAATAGAAGACATACGAAGGTTGTCACAAACGGTTGAAATTGAACTTCATGATTGCTCTGTCATACCAAGCGATGCAATGGGAGAAATACTAGAATATATCAAACAGTCAAGTGATCATGAAGTTATAACGTACAACACGGATGAATTTGTGTTCAGAAAGATTCAGTCGCATTAATAAAGAAGATTAAAGGGCCTTATCATATACAGTGAAATAACATAATAAGGTTTTACAGGCAATGTCCAACAAATTTTTTATGGTTAAATAATGTGTGATATTATTTAACTGTGATTGAAATTGAAAAGAAATACCTCGAACAATCAAACCATTGTAGAGATGAAGTCTTGCAAAAGATAAGATATTAACATTAATCACTTTCATATATTCACGAAAGCGTTATTGTGATGAAAAGGTGCCACTTTGTACTGCAAGTTAAATAACCGGCTTTGTCACGACGTTGATCTCTATAAAGGTGTTCTTAGAAAATGTCTACCTCTGTTTATGTACAACATTTCCAGATAGAATACCGAAATGTGTATGAAATGGTTCATAATGTTCAGAAATAAATATTTTGTTTATAGAACTGAAAATTCTAAAGAGAGATAAAACATCAATTATACTTAAAGGTGTCACTTGAAGACGGAGATACCCAAGTAGAAGATTACGTGTGTTCGGTTTTATTTACTCTTGCAACAAACTTCGTGTATAGCAGTCTAACTGTATGGCTACATTTCATTATTCCAAAAGTGTTCAATAGCTAACTAATGTTAGAAGATGCAGTGTAGTTATAAATTTACTATATTTGTGTTAAACAACAAGTTCAGTAAATTTTTGATGGTTTGGCTAAAAGGATATTCAATAATCGTGTGAGCAAGCTTTGTAGCTGAACATACTACAACAATCAAACATTTAAAAAGGACTGTCCTTTACATGATGTAAAGAGAAATCCTTTAGAAAGGATAGTCTTGAGATATGAAATGGACGATTTAAGAACGGAAATTTACCGTCCCCCTCCTTTTTAAAGAAAAAGGGGAATATAGAAAAAGGGTCAATATATCTGTCTGGCCCTCTGTCTGTCCGTCAGTCCGTCCGTTCGTCACATTTTCGTGTCTATGTCATTTTTCTAAGGAACTTTGAAATAACTTGTCACAAATATGTATTTTTTATAATGAGATGATGTGTCATGTGCAATAATCGGATCCCTACCTCCAAGATCAAGGTCACACTGGGTGATTAAAGGTCAACATTGTTAATTTTATGATATATGTCGTGTCCGGTCCACAACCTTCTTATCCATATAGGAATTTTACATTTATAAGACAATGTGTCATGCGAAAACAAAAACAGTCGCCTACCAAGGTCAAGGTTTACAGTATGAGGTTAAGGATAAAAAAGTATGTTACAGGGTATATTTGGTCCGGTCTTTAACTTTTTCATAGATCTAGTGATTTTAGAATTATTTGGCACAAATGACCTCAATAATAAGACAATGTGTCATGCGCAAGAACCGGTCGCCTACCTCCAAGTTTAAGGTCACAGTTGGAGGTCAAATATTAACATAGTCTATTTAAGGGTATATTTTCGTCAGTGATTATTCAAATACATTTTCTAGTAAGCGTTCTGAATTTATTTATGTTTTTATCATGTTTAGATCTCAACTATACTCCATTTTCTTTTATATCTCTTATTACTATAAATTGATTTCTATTTCAGCCGATTCATTGTTGGAAGGAGTGAGATTGCAATTGTCATTTTCAAAACAGACACAGTCAATTCTAGTCTGCATTTGTTTCTTACTTTTTCAAACTCCCTAGAAAAATATGTTTTTAGATTTTATATTAAATAAATACATATATTATATTATTGATAATTTAATGAGTCAAGAATCTTGACACTGACTGATCTACTACTTGAGAATGTTGTTTCGTAATTTACCATAAAGTCATTTAATTTGGATTCACCTTTTAAGCCCTGTCCTTTTAAATTGTCTTTTAAATTTGTGATTTTTTTTCTCAAGAAAGAATTAATGGATGATGAAGGAGCATTAACAGAGCTTTTTATTGTCACGCAGTTACAGGACAAAATAGGATAAACTACATATTAAATAAAGCGATTAACATTAAGAAAGAAACTTAATTCAACTTCGTCGTTCACTGTGAAATGTTGTGATTTTTTTTTTAACCTTTTCATTTAACTTTGAAAAGCATTAAATTGCTGACCTCGTGTGAATTTGGTTTACTGTGTGTCATTTCAAAGTTTATTTTGATCTTAAGAAAACACTACAACTGAAAATTCATAGGTTTATGATATCCAAACAGAAAAAATAGAGACAATTTGAAAACAGTATAAAGTAATTATAATAATTAAATGTAGATGCTATTTACACTTTGCATAAAATTAGAATATGAAACGATTAAATGCACATCTTAGTAAATAAATGCAAACATTATGTGCAAGGTACAGTGCATTGATGACACATAAAAACGCTTTGTTTTTGTTTTGTTTTGATATGGATACGCATGCACATGTTAAAGGCGCAATAACTCTTAGATTATCAACCAAAAAACCTGATTCGGTTGCCTGCCGTACTTTTTGTATTTGCTCCAGTAGTGGTTCAGAGATTTATTTTTCTTCAAAACACCATTCGTAAATGTTAGTTAATAATCT